AAGGCTAAATCAGTCACATGCCTATTGAGTGTCAGGTACTTTTTTACACAGGTGCCTAGTTTAATCTTCGAGCTAGCCCTGCCAGGTCACTGTGACTGCCCCCCACTTTGTAAATGAGGAACTTAAAGCAGTCCAGCAGACCCAGGAGGGACAGACAGGGAGGGGACCAACTCTGGCGGCTCTGACTCTGGGGACAGGAAAGGAGGGTGGGGATGGGGTGGGTGGTGGGAAGTGAGCTGGGAGACTGGACGGCAGGAAGTGTGACAGGACACAGGGAGGGGGCTCTGGGTGGGTGGTGTGGGGCCAGGAGTGCTTGTGTGGAAGGAAACACGGAGAGGGGGGACCCAGAGGGAAGGGGAGAGCGCCCCCAGAATTAAGATAAGGTGGAGGTGTGTGGGGGTAAAACCAGATGGTGGTTCCCACGGGTTCTAGCTCTGCTCCCCTCTTCCAGCTGTGGAACTGAGCACGTCCCTCCCAAGCCTGGGCTTCCCCATCCAGGCTCCAGGCACAATCCCATCTGTTGGGTGAGGGTGCCCTGGCATTTTGCTGGCAGGCTTCTAGCCTGCTTTAAGGGATCCCCACTTTCTTCCCTTCCCAATTGATTGGTCTGTTGGGGGGCCCCGGGCTCCATCCCATAATTCATAAAGTCAGAGACAGCTGCCTGTGTGTGTGGTGGTGGTGGGGGGTAGGGGGCGGTGCCAGAGCTTGACAGGCCCCTTGTACCCAAGGTGAAGGATGCAGGGGGCTCCATGACCATCCACACATTCGGTGCCTACTTTGGGCTCACAGTGACCTGGATCCTCTACCGACCCAACCTGTACCGCAGCAAGGAGAGGCAGAGCGCTGTATACCAATCGGACCTCTTTGCCATGATCGGTGAGAGTTGCCACAATGACTGCCAGCCTCCATGATAGGCGACGGCCATCATGAGGCGTTCATGATCACACCTGATCCCCACGTGGCCTGGTGGGGGGCTGCCAGTTCCCCTTGGGGGATGGACAGAGGAAGGCTGCCCACAGATAACTTCCAGGATCCCAAATGCTGTCCCTTCTCCCCGTGGGGCTGGTAGAAGCTAGTCAGTCACCCTGTGTGTTCCCTAGGATGCCCCAGGACAGACACAGTGGTACCCACCGTGGGACTAGCGCAGGGGACGCGTTCCTGCTTTCTGTGCTCCTTCATTCCAGAGAGCACACATCAGACACCCACTCGGGTCTCTTACAGCCCAGCCTTAGTTCCTCACAGCGCAGTGGGAGACGACAGGGCTACCAGATAATCTCCCTGCAGCGAAAAGGTTCTCCCCGGTGCTGTGAGAGCAGGGAGGCATTTAGTCAGCCTGGTTGTGGGGTCAGAGTAGGTTTCCTAGAGTGGAGTGGATGGCTAAGTGGGAGTTGGGTAGAGAGTCAGGCAGGGAGGGCCTTCTAGGAGGAGACCCAGCATGAGGACAGCCACAGGGGTGGGAAACAGCTGGGGCATGTGAGTCCTCTGACACCCCTGGAGTTTAAGGATTAGGACGCCTGCCTGAGCTCTGTTGGGCCCGTCTAATGCCTCTTTTCCCGTGCCCACTGGCCCCGTCTGCTCTGCCCAGGTACGCTCTTCCTGTGGATGTACTGGCCCAGCTTCAACTCAGCGGTGTCCAATCACGGAGACGCCCAGCACCGAGCCGCCATCAACACCTACTGCTCCTTGGCAGCCTGTGTGCTCACCGCCGTGGCACTGTCCAGCGCCCTGCACAAGAAGGGCAAGCTGGACATGGTGAGCAGCGGGGCGAGGGGCGGCGTGGGGGGGGGTGTCCTGGGGAGAGGCGCGGCTACGACCCCCTGGGCCCGCCAACACCTCTGGGAGTGTGATGGGATCACCACGCCCGTCCTGCAGATGAGACTGAGGCTCAGGGGAACATGGCTCTTCCAGATGGCATAGCCGGTTTCCAGCAGAGCCCAGAACCAGACTCTTGGAGATTCTGTTATGCCGGCTGGTCTGGGTGAGCTGGCTCCCCTTCCTCGCTCTCCTCCCCGCAGCCTCGGGTGCTGGCGTCTGTTCTGGGCTGGGCACCCCATCAGACCTGCCCAGAGGGTTGCCAGGCTTCTGGGCCTCCAGACACTGGCCCTCAGCCTTCAACCTGCCGGCACCTGTCCATGGCACACACTAGAGGGGTGGACAGAAACAATCCCCATGAGCCAGCAGTGTGGTACCTGGCGCAGGTGCTCCTGGAGGCCGCAGACTCTGACATGGGGTGTGTGTGTGTATGTGCATAGGCCCCACAGGTGCCCAAAAGCAGCACACCTGCATGTAAAGAACATCAGACATGTGAACCTGACCACACAGGTATGCGTGGCACCCAGATGCGTGGCACACGTGCAGGTGTGCCGACAGGACTCACTGGCACAGACACACGGACAAGGACGTGTGCATGTGGAAAATGCCCAGTGTGCTGGTGGGGGTGGCACACGTGCTGGTGGGGGTGGCACACGTGCCGAGAACACAGGGCGGCTGTCCCAAGCCTGGCCAGGCAGTGCCCTCTGAGTCATCCTGGCTCCAGGGCCAGGCAGCGCCCATGCACGGCGGGGCAATGTGGGCTCCGGGTCAGCTCCTTCAGGCCCGTGCACTAGGGGAGGACTGACTTCCTGTCCGCTCTGCCCACCCTGCCCAGGTGCACATCCAGAATGCCACGCTGGCAGGAGGGGTGGCCGTGGGCACTGCCGCCGAGATGATGCTCATGCCTTACGGCTCCCTCATCGTTGGCTTCATCTGTGGCATCATCTCCACCCTGGGTTTCGTGTACCTGATGGTGAGGGCCCCAGGCGAGGGGCTGGGGGCTGCAACGAGCTGGGGTCTCTGTATTTCTGACTGTGTGGGAGGGGGCAGGGGGCTGGAGAATCCTGGGTCTCCTTGTATTGGGGACCTCCAGAATTCGGGCCTCCCCATCCCCCTGCCACAGCCGCTGGCCTGAGCAGCACCCGTCTCCCCTCCCCAGCCATTCCTGGAGTCACGCCTACGGATCCAGGACACGTGCGGCATCCACAACCTGCACGGCATTCCCGGCATCATAGGTGGCATTGTGGGGGCTGTGACGGCGGCCTGCGCCAACGTTCACACATACGGACAGGAAGGGTACGCGTGTCGGAGGTGCTGGGGAGGTCAAGCTCCCTCTGTCCTTCTCCGTCCCGCCTTCCTGCTGTTCCTCTGGTGTCTAGGACTATGTCTCTGTCCCAGTCCTTCCCCAATCTGGACCACTGTTTCATGGGCCTCTCTCCCCACCCTCTGTCTTTCCACAACAGTCTGAGAGCATCCGATCTGTCCGAGGCCCCCATTTCGCAAATGGGAAGGCTGAGGCCCGGGGTTTGTTGAGCCTTGGCGCCCGCTCACATTTGTGGGGTGGCAGCAAGTGTTTGCTTGGCCTCTCTGTGGGGCCCTGACCTGCCTGCTGTCTCCACCCCAGGCTTGTCCATGCCTTTGACTTTGAACCTGGCGATGCTTACCGGTCCCCAAGCTTGCAGGGCAGTTTCCAGGCTGCTGGCATCTTCGTGTCCCTGGCCATGGCTCTGGTGGGCGGCATCATTGTGGGTGAGTGGGAATGGCTGGGCCTGAGAAGGTGGGGCCGCTATGGGGCTCCGTGGCAGGGGGACTCGAGAGCGTGTACCAGAGGTCAGCCAGCTTTGTCCCTGCACTCGTGGCCACGGGGCTGGAGAGACTTTGCCCAGCAGAAGGAAAGGGCTAGGCAGGCAGAGAGGAAGTAGATCCTGACCTCCTGTGACCTTCAACTTTCTTTAGGGATGATTCTGAAACTACCGATCTGGGGACAACCTGCTGACGAGAACTGCTTTGATGATACGGTCTACTGGGAGGTGAGTTCTGCAGAGTTGTTCTCCCCTACCCCCTTGCACAAGGGTGGCTGTATCTCCTCTCCCGACCCTGCACACATCATCCGAGCGGAGGCCTGGGGAGCCAGAAGCTGAAAGTTGGGGACAGAGCCTGCTTATCCAGTTCCTTTATTCAAGAGGCTGTATCTCCTGGAGGTGGAAGGCTTTGTTCTAGAGCAGTGACTCCCCAGCTGTATCCCCTGGAGACTTGTCCCACCCAGACTTTCTGGGTCCAAACCTCAGAAAGGGAGCAGGTCTGCCTCGGAAGCCTGTTCCCATAATGCAGACCCTTGGCCTCCTGCCAAGAGCCGGGCTGCCTCTACCGGAAGCAGTGCGGCTGTGGGTGCCTGGACAAAAATCCAACTTGAAGAACATGCTTCTAGAAGCTGAAAGTAGTGGAATGTCTTTAAACACATGCCACAATGTGGGCTTTCTGCGACTGCGGGCAGGACTTCCCTCCTCCCCATGAATTATTATTGGAGGTGTTTACCCATGTAAGATGATGGAGGATGACATACGGTCCTTCTCGCTTCCTTACCTCCCCCTCCTGACAAGGACGAGGACCTAGCCTGTGTCTGTGGCCCCTGCGCTGAGGGTCTGCCCATCACTGTCTTTCATTGGAGTCTGTGTTTTTTAAAAGCGTACCAGAAATTTTCAGGGTAGTTCTAACTAATATCTATTATAAACCAGTTTCGTGTGCACAGAACTAAGTCTTTTTCAGTCACTCTTTAAAAAAAATATCACTCCTTAAAATTATTTACTAATATAAAATGAATAGATGCTCATTAAAAGAAAATCTGGAAATAAAGAAAAATAGAAAGAAATCTCATCATTCTAGTTCAAGTACTGTTAGCATTTTTGGTATGATTCCTTCCAGTCTTTTTTTTTTTTAATTCTGCATAGATTTTCCTTACACAGCTGAGATGTTATTATACACCCAATTTGGTATCCTGCCCCATTCTCTTTATCTCTCTATCATAAGAAGTGTTCTTAATAAACTTTCTTTTTTAGCAGCAATAATTACTTTCATACTATATTTAAAGTCAGAACTTAAACTATTTTAGACGGCACAATTAGAAACCACATGGATTTAATGCTAATGAAATAAACTTTAAAAAAAATGCTGTCAATTCCCATACGTAGAAGTTCCCTCTTGATTCTGTTTTGATCTTTATAATTTATTCTAAGTTCACACCTTCTCTCTGCTGTATACCCTTCAGCAGCAATCTGCTTTGAGTAATATAATTCTGTGCTAGAGGAAGTGAGCCACCATCAGGCTGTCCCCCTGTCCGTCCCCCATCCCGGTCTCCCGTCCCCTTCCTGGTCTGACATCAAACTTGTCATGCTGCCTCTCACCTGGCACACTAATTATTCGTCTTTCAAAAGTGCATTCAGCACAACCGGAAGTCCCCTAGGCTGGGTGATCAGACGCTGGTGTGCAACTCTTAGCGTCACTGTGCCTTTCACTTGAATGCCTTCCCATTGCTCTGGTAGGGGCAAGGACTGTCTTGTGCCCCAGCACCCTGGACAGTGGCGAACGTGAGGTAGAGGCGCCATACAATATGGACTTTGCTCCTCGGCATGCAATCTGCACGGTGACCACGAGGTGGCGCGCGCTCCACACCATTTGTTGCTCCTGACTTGGGCCTGCCCACGCTGTCCTAGCTCCTCCACTAGGGACACCAGCCCAGCCTGGGACAGGGCCCTCGGAGCTGCCTCCTCTCTCTGCAGGTGCCCGAGGAAGAAAAGAAGGAGGTCTTCCATCCTGAGGACCCTACCCTCAAGCCAGCAGAACCTTAAAGCTCCCAGGGCAGGCGGGAAGCAGGTAAGCATGGGCGTGGCTTGTCAGTGGGGGATGACCAGCAGGTTCTCCAAGTGGGGGCCCGGGACTCAGATGCCACCAGCAAAGGGGCAAAAAGAAAGCATCAAGAAGTGAGGGTGTGAGCGTCCACTGCTCCTGCCTGAAGTGGAGTGGGCAGGCTGGGGTTGGTGGGAGGGGCACCGCGTCAGAGGGCTTGCATACTGGACACACAGGGATATGTGCAAGGTATACGTCTGGACTGGGAGGGACAGATGGGAGGTGGCCTGGCTTTGCTGCTCGCTGGCTGAGTGGCTCTGAGGATCTCTTCTCCCCAGAGACTGAATCTCCTTTCTAAAAGTGGAGATGACAGGATTGGCTCTAGTCAATTGGTCAGCTCATGCAAGACCCCTTCTTCCTTTTCTCCCTCCTTCCTTCTTTCTATCAGCTAACATTTCCTTGCCCCTCTGGAAGCCCTTTCTCATGCCTTTTGTACCTAAGCCTCCAAAGACCCCTATGAGACAGGTGCAGTTACTTCCCTCTCTTTACTAGATGAGGGGAGTTACAGCTCAGAGAGGTTCAGGCTCTTCAAGGTCACACAGCTGGCACGTGGAGGAACCGGGGTCTGTCACTATCATTGCTCTTATTATCATTGTTTGACCTCCTGGAGGCCAGAGCTTGGAAGGAGCTGTGTCTGGCGCCAAACGCTGAGCGATGGGGCAGGAGAGGACATCGGGGGTTAAGGAAAGAGAAAAGGGAGGCTGTGACCAGCTGCTTTTAATGCTCGCACTGTCCAGAAGAGGAGACGGTTCCCCACGCAGCTACAGCAGGACCTGACGGTAGCCCCTGCTCTTGGCTGTCCCCCTGCAGGCTCTGCAGACTGTCCCAGCGCTCCAGAGGGAGCCGGTGCTGACCAAGCTGGGTACACAAGGAGAACAGCATACTGCCTGGCCCAGGGTGCCTCCACCCCTCCATTTCCCCTCATCCCAGGGGCCCTGCTGAGGATGTACAAGGAGGAGTCATAGACAAAGGGGGTGGGAGCGTCCAAGCCAGTTCTGGCTGCTGCAGGCCTGCCACCAGGGGTCTTGGTGGCCTCGTCCTGAGAAAAGCAGGCAGGAGTGAGTCTGGGGCCTGCGGGTGGACCCAAGCCCCCACTAGGAGACAACGTGGCTGCCAGCCAACCGCTGGGCTCATCCACCCAGCCTGCACATCCCATGTCCTCTGGGTCCCCTAGACCTCTCTGTGCTGTACACAGATGGCTCTTCCCTGAATAAACGTTCTTGGTGTTCTTTGTAGAATGGGTGTGAATGCTCCAGTAGGACCAGTTAGAGCAGCGGTTCTCAACCTTTCACAGGGGTCGCCTGAGACCATCGGAAAACACATGTTTTCAATGGTCTTAGGAACCGAGACACCGCTCCTCTATCCGTCTCCAGGCCCACATGCAGATACGCCCACATCCGAGTACCCGGCGACCCCTGTGAAAGGGTCGTTCGACCCCCAAAGGGGTCGCGGCCCACAGGGTAAGAACCGCTGAGTTAGAGGGAGAAAAGGACCCACAGGACCTGGCCTCCTGCCGCAGTCCAGACCTCCTACCTCAGGCTGCCACCCACACTGCAAGAGAAATCATCTCAGGCTGCAGAGGAAGCATTTGGGGTGCTGGAACCTGCCTCCACCAGGGGCCCCTTGGCAGGGCTCAGCTTTTCGGCTGGGGTCTTTCCCCAGGGTCCCTGTTACTTCACATCAACCATCCCAGAACCTCACCCATTGTGAAACTGCCATGCCTTCTGTGCCCCCCATGTGACCCACTCAGCTTCTAGGGCACTAGGGGAGGGGGAGTAGGGAGAGAGGGTTCTTTTGGGCCAATCCCCTCCCTCCAACCTTTCCATCCTTTTCCCCTGCCAAGCCAGCCCTGCTTACCCTCCATAGTAGGGGAAGGTTTCATCAATTTAGATCTCCCATCACTTAATAAGGCCTGCCACCACCCTGGGCAGAACAACATACGTACTGTCCCTGCACTTGGGGCACTCACAGCCTAGCTGGGGAACTGACCTGACACCCACTATCCACCCTGAACTCTGGGAGGCCTCAGAGTGGGTCCCCTGAGCAGGGTTTTGGAGGCTGAATAGGAGTTTACCAGAAGGACGGCCAAACAGCAGCATGGGCAGAGACCCAGGGATGGGAATCAACATCGTGAGGTTGGGTTTGGCTAAAAGAGAGTTGAGGCAAAAGTGTGCCAGCTGCAGAATACGCAGCGGAACCCAGACCCTTTGTGGAGGAAACACTCCAGAGAAGGGGTGAGGGGAAAGGAGAGATGGTCTCTCCTGCCTCCAAACCCTCCCTCCCAGCCCCCCTCACGATTCACACACACATACACACACACACTCAGGCCTTCATCCCCCTTGCCAGAGGAGGGGGATGGAGGAGCAGGAGGAGGAGGAGGAGGAGGCGGCGGCGGAGAGGAGGGAGCTGAAATGCAACCTATTCATGTTCCCGCAATGTAACACCCCTCATTTTCCATGCTGGGTAAAGACAAAAACCCTTTACAACCTGTTTCTGGAACTTGTCAGCAGCTGCCAAGAGGAGCATGTTAATTAAACGTCGGCAAAGATGGAAGCCGGAGGCCCCGGCTCTAATTGGACAGTTTGCTTCACCGGATTGAAAAACATTGTGACAAAGGCGGAGGTGCGCGTGAGCTAGGCAGGGGTGCGGAGGGCTGGGGAGGGGACTGGCGGCTTTGATTTCAGCTGTTGGGGCCTTCCTTTCACTGGCACGCCCACAGAGGGCCTGGGAGGGGCCTGTGGGCTGCGGGGAGAGGTGCAGGGTGAAGGAGGTCCCCCAAAACTTGCAAGCCCGGGTGGCTAGCAGTATGGCTGACAGCATTAGGCTCAACAGAGGACCAGGCTTTGAGGGATCTGGGGTGGGGACCCTCCCCGAATACATGACCTGGGTCCTGGGGGGCTGTGCAGAAAGGGTATCAAGGGCAGGGGTCGGGCAGTCACCTCGGGGCAACCTTGAGGCTGCACTGGGAGGCCCACTGGAGGGAGACTGGCGTCTGGGCCCTGTTGCCCAAACTGTCTCTGGGTCACGTCATCAGGGATGGGCTCTTCAAAATGTTGACAGCTGGGAGGTTTGTCTCAGAAAACACAGCTGTGAAGGAACCCCCCAAGCCCTGCAGAGCCTAAAGTTGCCATCAGGGCTGCAGGGGCACACCCCGAGACTGTCCCCCCTCTGCGCGTTTGATGGCTGTACCCCAGTCCCTTCCTTTTCTTGACTCACAAGTGATGACAGCTGCCATGTCCTGAGCATTGACTACGTGCTGGGTACCACGCTGAGTGCCTTCCAGCCCTGTTATAATACTTAGCGTCCTTAGCCTCCTAGCCACAGAGAGAGAGAGAGAGAGAGAGAGAGAGAGAGAGAGAGAGAGAGAGAGAGAGAGAGAGACAGCACACTCGTATCACGCCCACCTCACAGGTGGGGAGACTGAGGCCCAGAGAGGAGAAATAACCCCTCCAAGGTCACAGTGTTATTCAGAGTGGTGCCAGGGTGAGCCCAGGCCCTGTGATTCCAACGTCTGAACCTGGCTCTGTGCTCCCGGTTCTCTGGCTCCTGGCGCAGCCAGGAGAGGGGGGTCCTCAGGATAGCCAGAGAAAAGAGTGGAGAACTCCCTTCTCCAGGCTGAGGGTCCTGACAGGTGGGGGTGCCACAGGCTGGGGGTCAGTTGGGAGTGCCCTATGCATGCCCCCGCCCCAACATACATGCTCAGTTGCATCTCCTGGGGTGGGGGTGGTTAGCTGACAAGGGCAGAGCTCCCTTCTCTGTCTCCTTCTGGGCCCCAGATGTACCCCCACCCCACCCTCATGCTGAGCTGCTGCCCAGGAGGGCCCCTTTTGGGGCGGGAGGCAGAGCTGGGGCCTGTGAGAGCCAGAAGCAAGTATGGGAAAAGGGCGCCATTGTGGCTGAGCCCCAGGGATTAAGAGCTCCAAAGTGGACGTGGGGAGCTGAGGCCATTGACGGCAGCCCCAGTTCCCAGGGGGAGGGTGGGTGGAGCAGCCTGTGCCTGAGCTGTGTCCAGGCTGCCTGCTGGGCCTAATCCCCTGGGAGCTGCAGCTGGAGGAGCCCCGGAAACACAGCTGCTGGGGGGCAAGGGCTGCCCCGATGGGGTCCGGCAGCCTGGTTCCGGATGCTCGGGGTGGCTGGCCACTTGGAGGAGGGCTGGGGTTGGGGAAGTGAGCCCATGGGTGTGAGTGTGTGCCTGTGCCCCGGCCTGGGCCACTCTAAGGACAGATGACCCAGGGGATTAGGGGCGACATCAGCCCCTGCATGTGTCTCTACCTTGAGGGCAGTGAGACCTGACGGCAGCAGCTAGAACCACTCCCAGGTCCCTGGCTGAGGAAGTGAGGCAGGGCCCCCCTCCCCACTCAGCAGGCCCAAGTGGGTGCTGTGTGTGTGTGTGTGTGTGTGTGTGTGTGTGTGCGCACACGCACTCGTGTACGCACACCATCAAGCAGGGTGCTTGAGAACGGCCCTTCAGCACTGGCTGGAAGGGCTCTGCAAATTGTAATCAGATTAAGGGGGCCATTCACTTAGGGCTCTTGAAAAGGCCACAAGGCTTCTAATCAGCCCTGAGCGCCCCCAGCCCACAAAGCCCAGGAGGAGCGCGGCGGGAGCCGCCCGCCGGGGGGCCGCGGGGTGGGGTGGCTTTCTTCCCTCTCTGTCTCTGGTAATTATGTCAATTTGCTAGCCAAATTGTTTGCTCAAGTGGACAGGGGGGCTTGTGCCCCATTCATGTGGTAATGTGGGAACCAGCAGGACTCCTGGCTGGGAAAATCGGAGGTACCAGGACCCTTCTCCAGGGGCAGGCAGGCCAGGGGTGCGGGGCACCCAGGCCTTGGGAATCTGCCCCCCCTTTCCCACCCCACCACCCCCGGCCTCAAGTGTGGGGCATTTTTTCCATGAATTCCAAAGACTTCCAGCTTGGGTTGTGCTCCGGGAGGTGCTTTTGGGTGTGTCAAGATAAAGGATAGGGAAGGAGGCAAAGACCCCAAGAGAGGACAGGGAGGTGGCCTCCAAGCTCCTTCAGGGTCCAGGTGGGCAGCTGTCTATCCCCATGCCTGCTCCCTTGTGGACCAGGCTGAGGCTTGAACAGTGTGGGAGCAGCACGGGACGTGCCAGAGAGATGGGGTCCTGATGGAGACACCGCACGTATAGACTTGGGGATGTGCAGAGACTTGCAGACAGTTCCTACTGGTTCCCTGAGCCTTTGTGGAGGTGCCGGACCCTTCTCCCCACCCTCACCTCCCCTACTGATTCAGAAACTGGGAGCAGGGCCTGACAGTCTCCCCAGTTGAAGACCTAGCGCCCTGATTTATTTACCTATTCCCCTGTTGACTGACCTTCAAGTTGTTTCCAATTTCTGGTTATTAAAACATGTGCTATGACACATCTCTGTATGCGTGTTTTTGCGTCCCGTGAGAACATTTCCTCACCTCTCAAACTTTTCTCGGTCAGTGTTTCCCATCCGCTGTTCCTGACGCACTTTACAATCCGCATCTAAATTCCATCTCGGTGGTGTTACATTGTATATATGTTTTAATTTAGAAAGGATTGACATCTTGACAGGATTGAGTTTTCCCATCAAATATTGAAATTCTGCAGGCTTTTAGGTATAATTCACATAATTACATATAATTTAGGCAGGCTTTGTTACGATCCCAAGTATAACAATTGCCGGAGATATTATAATGGTCTTTCCCTGATTTTTATGAAACTAAGAACATAATCAAAGGGTCAAGCGTATGATCAGCTTTTTCTTCTTGGGGTGGTCTCATTTCTTACGTTGGCCTCTCAGCTGTGATTCAGGTAAGCTTATGTCTCTCTGGGGAAGAAAATTGCTTTTCTGGAAATCCCCCCATCTCTCATTGGCTCCGGCAGTTTTAAAGCATGGCCCCCAAATTCTTCCATACTTTCCCCATCGAGAGGTGAGGTCAGTGTCCTCCTCTTGAATCTGAGGTTGGTGACTACTTGACCAACAGAACATGACAAAGGTGACACTGTGTCAGTGTCCAGGCCCAGTCCTTAGGAAGCTGACACTTGCTCTGGAAACCTTGCTGCCATGTCAGGAAGTCCAAGCAAAGGGGCACGGGGCTCTCGGCCCACCGCCCGGACTGAGTGACCAGCGCATAGCCAGCACCCAGAGCCGTGTCAATGAGCCCTCTTGGCAATGGGTCCTCCAGCCCCATTCGTATTGCCCGGCTGATGCCACGTGGCACAAAGACAAGCGGCCCCCACTCGTTTCTGCCCCAACTACAGATTTATTGAGCGAAACAAAGGATCGCTGTTGTCTTCAAGGTTGAGGTGATTTGTTAGGCGGCAATAGATAACTGTGCCAATGCAGCTCATTTTGGTGCCTAAACCAATCACTGACGTGGGGACAGGGACGTCTGGGGGTGACTTCAACCAGGGCCCACCCCGTGAGGCTGGGGCTGGGGCTGCAGCTGGCTTCCCTTCCCTGAGTCAGGGACAAAATCAGAGCTGTGCCAGCAAGGATGAGGGGCTGCTGGGGACCAGGGGGGGGGGAGGGCAACCAACAGTGTCTGCTGAGGATGTCGGGTCCAGGAAGATGAGGGAACTGTCCCAAGGTCACACAGCCAGTATGCAGCAGACTTCAAACCTGGCCCCCTGGCCATCTGGACCAAGGCTGAATCTGTTGCTGCCCCAAACCACTCCTACTCCCCCTTTGAGGGTTTTCTGCAGTGTCCACCCCTCCTAGAAACCCTTCCTGGGTCCCCTTTCAACATGGACACACTCCCCATAGAGCACACATCGCAGCGTGTTTTCATCATGTACCTACATGGCTCCCCCCAGCACAATATCCATGAGAGGGCTTGGCACAGAGGAGAGGTTAGGTCCAGTGGAGTCCTAGCTTTTGTGGGGTTAGGGTCAATATTTAAGGCTGAACATACAGTATTGTCCAAATTGTCCCCAGCAAGCCTTTACATTCCCAGCAACTCAGCGTATGTGGTTTTGTATCACACAACTCTAAGAAGTAACATACATGTATCCACGGATACCAAATGTACCAATGCATACATAGCACGCAAGAACAAGTACATATTCAAATGTGTCTGTACACTATTTTGAATTAAACGCATTTTGAGCGTTTATGCACGTAATTAAATGCACCCAAGAAGGGGCCGGCCGAGTGGCTCAGTTGGTTAAGAGTTTGCACAAGAGTGTGAGCTCTGAGCAACAGCGGTTCGATGCCCAGCCCGAGCTGAGCAGCCGCTGAGCTGCCAACAGGTGGCAGGATGGCTCAGCTAAAAAATAATAATAATAAATAAAATAAAATGGTTCTAAATGCACCCAAGAGAAACAGCACTGTCAATGTTTGATAGAAGATGGGATCAATCAATGAATAACAAAAGGGATGGGTCCGTCCCATCCGTTCATCTTACCCCGCAAACCTCTCCCTTGCTGGTCAAGCACTGTTTGTCTTTCTCTTGTGCCTGAAATTTCCCCACTTGAGTCCCTGAGAACCAAGACGCCCATGTCAAGTGTTCCAAAGGCCACAGTTAGGAGCAGCACACAATCCGTGCTCTGGCCTCTCTGGTTGGCAATGGAAGGTCACTTAGCTGACCCCTTGGACATACCAGAAGCCAAACCTGGAAGAGGGAGGTGTGTGTGTGCACGTGCAGGTGTGCTAGCGTGCTTACACATGTGGGTACTTGTGAAAAGCTGCTTCATTAAGGACTTGGCCCTTCTGTGTGTCCCCAAGTGATGCCACCATAGGTTCCAGCAGGCAGAGCTGGCACAAATGCCAGCCAATAGCCCCAATCCCATTGGCCAAGGGGAGGGAAGGAGAAGGGAACCCCTTGCTTAGAGGGCAGCATTTCAATCCTGTCCCCTGGAGTGTGCCTGGGGATGTCGCAGGGGAGGAGAATTTTTGCTTTTCACGCGATCCCCTCCCATGCTGTCACAGCAAACATGTTTTTCATTTATCACCTTAAAAGCTAATAGCAGTCTTTGAAGAACTTCTTAAGAATTTGAAAAAAACCTGTCTCACCCGTTCCCATTGAAACTCCTTTGACAGGTTGGTGAGCTCCCCATCGTCAGGGCTTCCTGGATCCCAGCGAACGCCCCCAATTCCGCCTTTCAGAGCTCCTGGAACGGGTCAGTGCCGGAAGTCTGCCACTGACCCAGCGGACAGGTAGTGCTGGCTTCACCTGGACTTCATGTGCAGGTGAGCGTGGGCCCCAGGTGTCAGAGCAAAGAGCAAATCAGGGAGGGGGCTGATTCTCGCCCTCACAGACGCGCCCCAGGGCTGAGAACTGCGGAGGTGGCGTTGCCATGGGAGGCTGGAAGCGGGGACCGCGGGGCACCTGGGGCTGTGCACCCCCACCTTGTCTTCTTGCCTCTTCTCTCCTGTGGTCTCTTTCTGTCTCCCGTCGGTATCTGTCTGGCTTTCTCTGTGTCAGCCTTGCTCTCTGCGTCTCTCCCTCCATCTGTCTCCTTCTGTCTCTCCCCGCACCATGCCCAGTCTCTTCTCTCTCTCTCTCTCTTTGATTTTCCCTCTATTTCTCTCTCTTTATCTGCCTGATTCCCTCCCTTCCTTCCTCCCTCCTTTCCTTCCTCTCTCTCTCTCTCTCTTTCTCTTTCTGTCTTTCTCTCTGTGTCTCTGTGTCTCTGTGTCTCTCTCTCTCTTCCCTCTCTCTCTTCCTCTCTCTCTCTCTCTCTCTCTCTCTCTCTCTCTCTCTCTCCTCCCTCTCCCCCCTCCTCCGACTCCTCCCCATCCCTCGCGCCCTCTCTGGAGGGTGATCTGTGCGATCATGCCAAGCCCAGAGGGAAGGTCAGGGCACCCTGCAGGGATCGGTACAGACTGTCATTAACCTGTCACTTCTGCCTCTGGCAGAGAAACAGCGGGACTCAGGAAAGGCAAAGAATTGCAGTCACTGGAGAGGGGACATCTCAGCTGGGGCTGACAACTGAAAGCAGAAGCCACGCAGTCAGAGGGCTGCAGACATGTCCCAGGGCACCAAGGACAACTGGCGTGGCTTCCTTCTGGACACCAGCCCTACATCGCGACCCTCTTCTGACTTCTGGGCAAGGGGGGAACCTGTGCAGGGGGAGAACTGGGGCTGGGGGCTACATCCAAGCCCCCTTGCCTGCAGCCTTGGGAACAGAGGAAGGGGACTCAGGGAGGCCAAAAGCAAAGGTCTCAAACTGAACAGCCTATGGGCTACGTATGCCACCCCTCTAACTGTGGCCTCAAAATACAAATCTGCGTTTTTCAATTGGCAAATTTCACCTTTAAAAAATGTTTTCTCTTGAGGACCTGGCAACACTGGACTACGGCAGACCATTGCACACTCCCCTGTCCTGGGGGGTCCCTCCTCCTTGAACCTGGATACCTCCTTACAGTTACCTGCCCAGCCTCTGATAGAGCAGAGAGAGTCTCTGAGCAGGAGAAAGGCCTTAGCTTTCACATCCATATAATGGGTCGTTACGTGAGTCCAGCGTTAAGATTGATCTTTTTGAGCATCTGACGAAAGACATGGACCCTCTCCCTAGAGAAAAGGACCTATGTACAGATTTGCACAGAATTTGAGAGGTTCACATGTCCGTCCCCCTGGGAGCCATGGACCCCAGGCTAAGAACCCCCTCTGGGCGCTAAGGTCCCTTCTTCCTCTCCCTCAGCTGAGTCCAGGCTCAGGTGGACCCACCAGCTCAGGCCTGACTGCCCGGGCCACCCCTTCTCTCAGTAAAACAGAAGAAACTCTCCCCATCCTTAGAGGCTGCCGGGGCCAGGCTGGCAGCCGCCCATCGCCCATGGATATGCAGGAGGGGTCCCCGGGCTGGTGCTGGATTAGCATAAAGCCCTCGGGATGTGAAGGCCCACCGGGAGGCCTGTGTGTGCAGCGCCTGCCTTTGTCCCAGGCCCAGGACCGGTAGGACGGCCCAGGCGGCTCATACACTTTTGACTGCCAGATGAAAGGGGGCCACATAAAGAGGCTGCCTGGGCCGAGCATGGGGGCGCTTTGTGTCCCTCCAGACGGAGTTACAGACGTCTGTGAAACGTCAATTACAGCTGAATAAAGACGTCTGCTCCGTCCAGACGCGCCTCCTTTCAGCTGGGGAGGTGTTTCCAGGCCAGGCCTGGGATGCCTTTGGGAACCTAATTTGGCGATTGTGACTCTGGAAGCGGCCCTGGCATTCATCAGTCCGGGGAGGATGGGAACAGGCTGAGCTGGCCTGACCCAGCCCTGGGGGGTGTCCTGGAATGCGGGGTGGGGGGAGAAAGGAGCAGCTCATCCTCCAGGCCAGGCCAAGCCTTGGGGAGGGGACGGGCAGCGGGGCAATCTGGGAGCCACACAATCCCCCTGTATCAGTCAGGCCTCCTTCCCAGGCCTTCGTCAGTGCCAGGCTGGCCCAGTGCCTCTGCAGCTACTGGCTTGGATCAGGGTTCACTTCCTCCTGATGGGCTCTTGCCTGAGATTCAAGTCCCGGGACCACCAGAGATGCCTGCTGCACTGATGTCCCTGAGCCACCGGGCCAACCTGGGGACCACCACCCTTCAGCCCTCCTGCTGTGTGAAATGAATAAGGCTGCATTTCTTTAAGCCCTTGTCCCATCCATCAGGCTGCTGGTTACTTGCAGCCAGAAACAATCCTACCTGACAGAGCAGGACGACTCGGGGCTTATATTCCTAGTTTTGTACTTTCAGAGTGGGAGAAGAGACTGTGCCACTGACAGCCACCTTGAGGGGAGGTGAGGACCTGGGACAGAGCACTGATTCCGGGCACAGTGAGCTGAGCTGCCCCTTCCGGGCAGGCGGTTACCCCGGCGGTGGCCTTGCCCCGAGAGACCTGATTCTTGGGGGGTCTTGGGCAGTACAGGTATTTCCTGAGGACCCCCAAGCTCCCTGGGACATCTGTCCTGAAACGTGTCCAGCAGGACCAGGCGACGGACCCTTTGGGCTACAGAGCATGTGTCACACTCTGAGCAAAAGCCAACGGGCCGCCTTTTACAGGGTAGAGAGCAGAACCCGCTCTAATAACGAGTGACCTTGCTGCTTACTGAGCACCTACTGTGTACCTGGGTGGACCCCCTCAGAGCTCAGAGGCGGTCCCCTCAGTGGCACAGGGAAGAGCACGGCCACTAGGCCAGCCTGCCAGATGTGATCCTGGGGCTGCCGCTTCCCAGGTAGGGGACCTGAGCAAGCAAGCTGACTGCTCTGTGCCTCCTCCGTGTGCATACCTGCCAGTGTTACCGACACATTCTAGGACCGACCCTGGCACACCGTGAGCAGGCAGCAGGCTGGGTTTTGAGTCCAGGGGGGGGTCTGTCGCCTGAGCTCACATACTCTCGGCTTCTCTTAGTCCCAAGGGATGTGGGCCCTTGTTCCCCAGTTGGGTCTAAACTCATGGAAGGTGTTGGCTCAGGACAGGTGAGCCCAGTTCCCTCTCTCCCTGTCTCCCACTCACCACTCCTCAGTCCGTTCCTAATGGCGGTCAAGGTATCCGTGACCTGCGGACGGGCCCACGCAAGGCCTGTGTGCATGTGTGTGCGCCCCAGACACATACGGTTGCGGCCAGGGCCTTGAACCACTGTGACGCTCTGAAGGTGTGACGAGGTGGCCCACAGCGACGCCTGGATTACGGGGTGAGTCCCAACATGAGACTGGCCAAGTAAGAAGCAGCCAAGGAAGCTGGAATATCCCTGAGGAAGGAAAGGGGACTGCAGTCTGCACCGGACACCCCTGCAGACAGGCCGTAAGTGGTGCCGTCTCGTGGGCACCTCCCATAAGAGTGGGTCCCCACTGGGGGGGGGGTGCCCTTGAGAGAACTGGGACCAGCTGATGGGGTGGTGACATTGTATGAGCCTGTACGTAAGCATGTACCATATCAACGGAGGCATCTAAGATCATTCGTATTTCATTCTTTTGGCTAGCTAATACTTTCACCTGGTATAAAAATAAAAAGGTTTCTAGCAAGAAGTCTCCTCCCCGTCCTTGTCCCCATCTGCCGCGTTCTCACTACTCCCTAAAAAGATAACTGTTATTCGTTTCTTATGTATCCTTCCAGAGTTTCTCCATACATAAACAAACCAATACAAACTGGTGCTCTTATTTTTCCCTCATTTTACTCAGCTTCAAAGTATCGTTTCAGCCTTTTGATTTTACAAATATCACTGCAACAAATAACCGTGCACACGAATCGGATCTCACAAGTGTGAGTGTATCTGTAGGATGACTTTCTACTTGTGATTTTGCCCTATCTCGCCCAATTGTCCTGCATGGGACAGGTGCCACCTCCTACCCACAGGATGTGATGTCTAGGATCTTGGCAAGGGCGGGTCTCTCTCTGGTGAGAGAACACATCCTGCTTGGGCAGCAGTGATGGGCCTTTCAGGCTCCCAGCCCAGTGAGCCTGTGCAGGGGTCTTGCACGGCCACCCGAGGCAGCCCTGCTCACGCCTGAGTCTGTTCTGTCTCCTGCCTCTTCCTCTGGCACAGTTATAAGGAGGGAGCTGCCCCCATCCCCAACCACCACTGCGCGCGCGCGCACGCACACACACACACACACACACACACACACACTGGTCTGTGAAAATGCAGAGCAGAGCCCTGAAGGAAGAGTGTCTGCCCAGGTTTACTCGTGCAGCAAGCCATGAGCGGGTTTACCCCGCTAAGTGCTATATATGTGACATGTGATCTTGGCCAAGTCCCTTAACCCCTGGGCCCCAGTGTCCTCTTGAGTAAGATGAGAGGTATGGACACTGGGTTCCGTATTGAGTGCTAATGACGTATCATCCCCAAATCATGTTGCCAGTCCCTGTCTGCATGGAAAAGAAAACACTTCGGTGGGCTGGTCACTGTTGGCACTCAGTTGCAAGGATGGGAGATCGATCCAGAGAGCCCTGTGCGAGCGGCGAGGGGCTAACTGGGTGTGTACTTTCCTGAGTGTTCAGTGAGGGGTCCCTGTGACCTCCCGCCAACCACAAGCCTAGGTTTGGGATCAGTTCGAGCTTGTTTGAAATCCTCCTGGGCCCACTAACTCATTCTGTGAATGTGTGCCTCCCATTTACCCCTTTGGAGAAATAAGCTACCTTCACGCTTCTCTCAGGTGGCCACTGTGAACATGGGAAGAGATCTTATTACGAAGGTGCTGGGCGTGTAGAAAGTGCTCGACAAAACCGTCATCTGTGTTCCTAGGAGTTGCCCAGAGCCAGCGGCTGGGCTGCCAGGCCCAGGTGGGGCTTGGAGACAGACCCGCCAGTGCCCCCAAGCCAGGCCACCGGCGAGTGCGGCGTGGAGCAGGGGCCCTGCGCGCTCTCCAAGGCGTCTGGACAGCAGGCCAGGAGGCAGCCCAGGACCAGTGACAGCTGGGAAGGTTTAATTGCTCCTCCGTGGCTTGCGAGGGCCTCCCTCCCTTGCCAACGATCTGCATTTCAATGTGAGGAGAGTGGAAAGTAGGATGCTGCTCCAAGGGGTTACAATGATTAATCATTTAAAAAGCAAGATCTTAATTACAGGCCGCAATTTTTGCTATTTAAGGAGTCCATTAGTTGCCAGAAAGAAGAAGAAAAAATTATCACAGGTTATTCTCCTCCAAAAGTAGAGAGGGGGGAGGCATGGTGGGGGGGGGGAATCAGCTGCTGCTCAGAGATTGGGGCCGGAGAGGGGGCGGAGGCAGGGTCCCACCCCAGGAAGAGACCTGGCCCCAGCAGGATGGGCCCTGCCATGGTGCCCGAGCAAAGCGAGAAGAATGCTCCTCCGAGTCAGGGAGGCTGGTGCAGGGAGGTGGTGCCAGCATAGGAACTTCCTGCCCGCTCTCTCCCCAGCTGGGGGCCTGGCTGGCATCCCACCTGTGGGTGCCCCTGGAGGCTTCCTCCTGGGCGTGGCCGCTGGTGGTCAGCTCCTCCCCCACCCCATGACCCCTGACCCCACCCTGCTCAGGATGTGGGGTTAATTGCCAGGCCCTCCCCTCTGACCCCTCTGTGGGTTTTAGCCTTGTCCTGTCTCTCAGCCCCCAGGGTGTACAAAGGGGCACTGGGTGTGGGCGGGGGTGGGGGGGGGAGCGTTAGGAGTCAGATAAAAACAACCAAGCCTCTTTAGTGGATTAATTTACTGATCCTCAGGAGGTTCAAAGATCAGGAGATCAAGTGCCTGTGGCCTCAGACATTTCCGGGCAAGGGACCCGGAGGTCTTCCTCCACCTAGAAGCCTGGGCATGAGCCCACCATGGAGGAGGCCTGGGCTCTGGCTGGCAGCCCCTGTATCCCAGAAAGCAGCCCCAGCAACCAGGGGGCTCCACCAATGCGGGGGGCCAGCCGCAGGATGCCAGATGGTCGTGGGCCTGATGTTACGAGCGCCATCAAAATTAATAACTCAGATGACTCGAACTGGGAAGTGTGAGCTGGAACCGGGGCCCAAACGCTCTGTATTCCTATGACACCATATGTTGAACACAAGCTTGCAAACAAGTTGCAGAGTTTACCAGCGGACCCAGAGGAAAGGTTTCTTCCCTGCCAAGCCTTGCTTGATACTGGGAATAAAATAAATGAAATCACTTCTGTAAACAGTCCCTCCTGCCAGACTGATTAAATGCCTCTGAGTGTGTGTGTGGGTGTCCATCAGCCTCGTCTGTTCTAACATTTAGGCCCCCAGAGGGCAGGCTGCTAAATGGGTTTGAATGGTAATCCCAGGGATTTGGGGGTGGTGGGGGGGAGGAGACTCAAGCCACAGAGTACCCATATGGGTTTGAATTCAAAATAACCACACTGATTTTGTAGTGGCTCTGCCTCCAACTTCAGACCCTACCACCCCCCCGCAGAGAGCGGAGAGTGTTTGTCCCTTTAATTGCCAGGTTCCCCATGTCCTGGGGGTGAGCGCACAGGCCCTTACCCATCTTCCCCATCCCATTCCAATGCTGACTAATTGCAGGGCTAGGCACCCAAAACAAGCTGGACCACGTTATTTCTGATGTTGGCTCTTTTCACTGGTGGCTGCCTTGAAACCACAGTAATCAGCAGCTTTCAGCTTGTCGCTCTCCTGACAGTCTTTACTTAGACCAGGAAATGGCAAATATGATGGAAATGAGAACTTTATTATCTGTTTCCTTCTTTCTAAGAGAGGGGGACTGGGGCACGGTGAGGAGGGCCTGGCATCAGATGCCACCTCTGCGGGCAATGGTGGATCACAGCCCAGGGCCTGCCGGCCACACCTCCATGCACAAGTTGCCTACCCAGGTTCCTCCTGGGCCACTGGGTACTGTCCACCCTGCCCTCCCGCCTGAATGTCCCCGACTGGGGAACTGCTCTAACCTCAGGGAGTCCTGGAGACTCTCAGGGCCAGCCAGCCCCTCCCGACGGGGCCTGTGCCCATGCATGCTGTCAGCCCAAACAAGTCTTGTGCGAACATTAGGAAAGGGTGCCCGCTCTGGACTGGATTTTAACCCCCCTTCCCCTCTCAATCTTCATGGCAAGCCCTGAACAAGCAGGTTATCTTACACGTGGGGACTGACACTCCCTGTTCTAAGGCACGCAGCCACAGGGGCCTCCCAGGGCCCAGAACGCACTGTCCTATACTCCCAGGCGGACACCCCAGCAGGCTGCCAACCCACCCCCACAAAGACTTAGGGGGACTCCAGACCCAGCCAGGAAGGGAACAGGTGGCCCTGGACAGCCTGAACACCCCTATCTCCAGCAGCCTGGGGAGCTCCCGCCCCTGGGTGGGAGCCAGAGAGGTGGGTGGCTTTTATTGATGCTGAGCTCTGTTTTCTGTTTGTGTGAAGCTTTATATTTTCAAAGCACATTCACGTCCATGATCCTGTCTGAGCCCCTCAAATCAGCCTGCAAGGGGGGCCGAGGCAGGGCGGTCCCGTCCGTTTGAAAGATGGCGCCCCAGAAGCTCAGAAAATGAGGCTCACACATCTCCTACCTGGCAAAGCTGAGGCTGGGGCCCGGTGCTAGTTTCAGAGGGTCCTGGAGCCCCTCGGGCTGGGACACAGAACCCCGTGGGATCAGGGACCTGGTGCCGCCCACTGTGCCCACCCACCCACGCAGATCCTGGCGGCTTGGTCACCAGCTCATTCACCTCACATTTCCCAGAAGCAGTGCATGTGACAGGACTGACATACCCCCATCAGGAAGGGACTAACCTCTCTGGGCCTCGGTTTCTTCACCTGTAGAATGGGCTTCATAATAAGATTATCACTAATCTTAGCGTTTAGTATTAACTCTTAGTAACAATCCAAAGGGTCATTGCAGCAAGGCAAGGCCCATATAAGGGGAAGCCCAGTGGAGGGGCAGCTAGCTCAGCCAACAGGCTCTCCTAAAGGTGACCTCTTAAGACCGGCTGCATATTCGGGGGGCAGTCAGAAAGTCTGGGTGTGGCAGCTATCCAGCACAGGGAGGTAAGTGTTAGGGAAGGGATCCCCTCTTCTCATCCAAGTGGAGGTGCCATAGGGGCTAGCTGGTGCTGCAGGGAGCCCCATAAGTGCTCCCTCTCGACCTGAGCCCCTGTCCTGGGAAGGTGTTGCCCCTAGACGCTGAGCCCTGTTGAGCTGGTGACCCAGTACAGGACAAGGAGGGGGATCCCTGACAGCCCTCCCTGAATCCTCTCCTCTGAGAGCCAAGAGCCCTGACTGCCAGTAATCTGCTGTGTGAACTCACAAAAGTCCCTTCCCCTATCTGGGCCTCGGTTTCCTCATCTGTCAAATGGACCTCCTCCTCTTAGGCCCTGGTGTTTGCACACATTTAGTCTGGGGTGCTCAGCGGGCCAGCAACAGGGGTCCCTGCTGCCAGGATCCCTTACTGCCCCCCTACACAGAGGGCCTGGGACCTACAAATGCAAGGGACGCCATGTGAAGGGCAAGATCCTGGTTGCTGGGCCAAACCCCCAGCCCCCCCGCCAGCCCCCAAACCTGCTGCTCTGCTCCAAATTGGCTCAGCCAGAGTCAGGCCCTCTTTGGGCCTGGCAAGAGGCCTGAGCT